GCACACACGTTTGGTTGGCTAGGTTTTTATTTCATTTGACTTTAGTTGTTTTACCTTTACTTTCTGGGTACTTTTTCTATATTTTTATTTCATTTCATAACTTTTAAAAAAAATGGAGTCTGGATAAGTTACCCAGTCTGGCCTCAACCTCATTAATTTTCTACTTTAGCCTCCCAAATACCTATCATTATTGGTTTGTACTGCTATATCTAGCTTGAAGAGACTTTAACTTTTTTCTTGTGTTTTATTATTTAACTTACTGGATGTTAGAAATATGTTTAAAATATCTTCACATTTGTGATTTTAAAAATATATTTGTTTTTTATTTTATGAGTGTTTGCCTACATACCGGTAGGCTACCAGGTCAGAAGAATGGTAGGAACTAGGTTCAGTTGTGAGGTAGTTTATATTGCTGTCCAAATAGTATCCAGATTTAGTCCTAGAGAACAAATAAAAACAATGTGGCGGAATGTAGAAACTACGTGGCAGGATGTAGAAAGGAATCAGGCTGAGACAAAGCACTATGGAGATACTTATGCTCTTGCTTGACCCCTGGGTCATCTGCCAGCACAGGTGCCTACATATGGCCTCTATATCCTAGGGCCCAGGCTCTCTGAGCTGGTCTCCACTTTGTTAACCTTTGAAGTTATAGTTCTAGATAATCCAAACATACCAAGAAGGCTGAAGGAAACAACAGAATATTAGTTTATGTGATTGACAATACACTTGAATGTGTGTTAAAATAACAAAATGGCAGTGCACTAAGAGGGTCTAAAAGGCTCAGACCTGCAATCCCAACATTCAGGAAGCTGAGACAGGAGGATTGCTGTCAGTTCAAAGTCATCTCTGGGATACATAGCGTGTTTCAAGCCACCTTGGGCAACAGAGTAAAACTGTACGCTCTGTCTCTGTCTCTGTCTCTGTCTCTCTCTCTCTCACACACACACACAGACCAGGTGGTGGTGGCACATTCTTTTAATCCCAGCAGAGGCAGGTGGATCTCTGTGAGTTTGAGGCCAGGCTGGTCTACAGAGCAAGTTCCGGGACAGCCAGGGCTGCACAGAGAAACCCTGTCCCAAAAAACAACAACAACAAAAAGATTTTAAAGGAAGAATGGAAGGAAGGAAAGACTTCATTTTATTCGTGGGATTGGGAATCTGGATGTTTTGTGACTGCTGGCTGAGATGTCAATGGTGTAGCCTAAATGGATGGGTTTTATCATCTTTTCTCCAGAACACAAAGATAGCTGCCTTTCAGCGTCCTACTTTCCCTAGCTTCTTTGGGCTAGGTGGTCCTTTGTAGGTCTCTACCTATAACCTCTGCCCCGGGTACCATTGGAGTAGTGGCCTGTCTTCAAGCACAGTTGAGTCAACGTTTGCATCAGCCCTGCACTGTTGCTGTTTCTTTAAGGCACAGACAGCTGCCACGCTGGGGCAGAGGAGAAGCAAGGGTGAATAAAGCACCATAAAACTTTCCGGGCAACTTTTTTTTTTTAATTCATTGTTTGCTTGGTTGCTATGGACCTTTATCTTTTTTTTTTTTTTGGAGTGCCTACAAAGTTGGTTCTGGCATATCTGCTTGTTTTTATCAATGTTTTTATGGAGAGATACTATTTAAGCTTCCTTGTTACTGTTTTTCTGATGTCACCCCTGAATAGCCTAATTTTTTAAATCATTAGCTATTGGTACCTCAGGGCCACAAGATGGTTGCTACAACTCAGATAGTCAGTCTCTGTCTAGAGTATGGAGAGTGGGGAAGGCTAGAGTACCACAGCAGCTATGCAAGTCACTTAAAAAAAAAAAAACAGACAGGGTTTCTCTGTGTAGCCCTGGCTGTCCTGGAACTCACTCTGTAGACCAGGCTGGCTTCGAACTCATAGAAATCCACCCGCCTCTGCCTCCCGAGTGCTGGGACCAAAGGTGTTCGCCACCACATTTAATGCAGAAGTTCAGAAGGGATCACGCAGCCGCTGTTTGTGACACAAGGCGTTTTGAGACTAGAGAGAGCATTGTCTTCTGAACTGTAGGCACAGTCCTTCACCAAATACAGTCTTGGTTCTAAAGACAAGAAGATGAAGATGCCAATAGTTGGCTGGTTACGGTTACTCCCCAAAGAGACAGAATTTGGGTTATGACTAATCACTTCACTATGGTCAACAAAGATAACACGGTCAGGTGACCAGCCAGGCAATGCCGCTTTTCCTGTTTTTCCACACTCTGAACGCAGCTGGGGTACGGAGAAGCCAGATAAGTGAACTCTCATCATGTCTCCAGGGCCTACCTAAATAGCTTTCCTTGACGAAGCACCAAGCAAACAGCCCAGACCTGGCCCCAGAGGCCTGCCTTGCCCCAACCCCAGGCAGCTCCCTGACACAGTGCAAAATGCTGCTGTTGGGCTACTAACTACACTGTATGCAGAGGTCACTGTATAAAATAAAAATAAGTTAAAAAGAGATCTCGTGGCTAGCTGCACAGTTCAGTGGTGTAACACAGGCTTACCATGGCAAGTCCCAGGTTCAATCCTCAGTACCACCTCCTCCCTTTGCAAACCCCGAGGTATCTTTTTTTTATCATGCCACAGTTACCAAGTTAGTGAAGCCTGACAAGCATAATTCATGATTAGATGAGAGTGTGATGAGACACTGTCATGATTAGGTGAGCATGAGATGGAACACATTGCTTGCTGGCGTCACTGAGTGTCGCCGTTTAAGGGTTGGGACTGACCCTTAGCTAGATACCATTAACAGAATCTGATAATCTCCTGATAGTCTTCATTCAGCCCAAGGAATGAAATAGCAAACTGTGCACTTCAGAATCATAAACTCCCTTAAAATCATAAATCTCAGCTCTGGGGATACATTTTAAGGAGATACATTCCAGAAAAAAAGAAGAGGAGGAGGAAGAAGGACATGTCTTAGATACAAAGGAGGCAACTGTACACTTACTTATAATAATGAAATCTTGCCAATTGGCCAACTTGCAATGCTGGGAGAGCAGACTTTTCTGCTGCTCTGTGGGTCACAGTTCTGAATACACATGCTGATCAGAGACTGAGGTCAATGGGGTGTTAAAATCAAGGGAGAAGCAACAGGAGCAAATGCCTGTGTCACACGTTCATGACTGAGCTTTTGTGTCCCGGCAAGGCCTAGAGGCACACACAAAGGCAGTGGAGATGAGGCTGGGTGACAGTTTTCCTTTCTGCCCTCAGTGTGACTGTGTGACTCTCATGCTTTGGGGACTTCAGAAAAGAGCTCAGACCACAGATCTGGACCCCATCTGTCTGGTGCTGGTTTGGCCGTAGCTTGACAGCCTTCAAAAGACCTGACAGGGGAGGGCTTCACTTCAGTACCCCTGATCTGGGCACTCGGGGACTTTGCTGTGACAGCAATGTTTTGTTTTGTTTTGTTTTTGAGACAGGTCTCACTCTGTAGTCCTGGCTATTCTAAAGCTTGCTCTATAGCCTAGGCTGGCTTTAAACTCACAGAGATCTGTCTGCCTATTCCTCCTCAGTGCTGGGATTAAAGGCATGTACCACCGTGTCCCTATCAGTAATAACATGTCCTCCTCCTCCTCCTCTTCCTCCTCCTCCTCCTCCTCCTCTTCTTCTTCTTCTTCTTCTTCTTCTTCTTCTTCTAGACAGGGTTTCTCTGTGTAGCCTTGGCTGTTCTGGCCTCACTTTGTAGACCAGGCGGCCTCACACTCACAGAGATCTGCCTGCCTCTGCCTCCCTGAGTGCTGGGATTCCAGGTGTGTTCCACTGTGCCTGGGTCAGTAGCAACTTCTTGTTTTGGGGGTTTGTGGAAAAGCAGTGGCAACACATCCTCGGGTTCAGGCTTCCAGGAGTGTCCTCAGCCAATGTGCTGTAGGCATGGACAGTGCCTTATCTACTGGTGGGGATTCTCCAGGGTGGGTCTCCCTATGTCTGGAGGTCTCAGGGACAGGAGCTATTCTTGAACCATCTTGGTTGGTTTCCTCACATCTCATGGTTCTTTCTTTGCCTGCTCACCCCACAGCTGTCTCAGGGTCTGCATCCAGGAAGATCAAATGAGAATACCCAGAAAGAGATGAGAGGATGCCATCCCGGGAGCAAAAAGAGAACCAGTAGGCACTGTATGGGGTTATCCCTGCACAAAAACAGGCCCTGGGCCCTTCTCCTCAGCCTCTGTTCTCTGCCTATGCTTGGGCAGCTCCCCTCTGAGCCCACTAGAGTCCATAGAACATGGGGTGATGGGGAGTAGGCCCCTCCCTGCGGCTGTCTCGGCAGGTAGCCTCATGAGTGGCCTTGTAGCAATTATCAGCAGCTCAGCCTTGGCAATAAGGGCCAAGGTCTTGGCCCATTTCGGTGATAGCAAGGGCCCAAGGAAAGACTAGAAGGTTCTTGCTGGGAAGAAGCAGACAATGAACCATGTACCTGGGCTTAGGCTGAGTGGAACTTGCCACCCAGAGCTCCTTCCCAGGGTTGTTCAGTGGAGTAGGCCAGGGCCAGGAACAGAGGCAGAGCAGGAGTGAGGAGGAAGAGTAAAGGGATCGCAGGGATCTCTGGTCTCTGTTCCCTGTCAGATCCTGAAGGGACTTTTGTCACTGATTGACTCTCCCTCAGTGTTCTTTTCTTATCTGGGTGCTAATATCAATTAATCAGTTGCTAGGGTGACAGAGGGTGAGTCTGAGTCTACACTTAATGTTAGTCTCAAGAGGCGATGAGGGGTCAGAGTGCAGGCTGCAGGCCAAGCCCAGGACAATGTTGACATTCTTCAGCTACGCTAAGCCCCCAAGGCCAAAGCCAGGCCAGTGAGTGTCTGGCATCTCTTGCCCAACCGGCTCTAACCACGTTAGAATTCATTTGCATCAAGAAGTAAGTGGGGAACCCTGGCACCTTCACTAGGAAGTTCACCTAAAAGGGGGGCATGGACTGATGGCAGGGAACAGGGCACGTAGATCATTAACCAGCAGGGCACACCCCTATTGGTCCCAACCTGGCAGATGAGGGTTGTCACTAGGAGGAGGGGAAGGAGGTTGCCTTAATGTATAACTGCAGGGTCCAGTCCTTAGTTTTCCCCAGCTGTCTGTCCCTGAGGCCTGGCCCTGCTTCTCCCTGATCGCTTCCTGGCCCTGGGATGGCAGCTGGCCTGCAGGCAGGGCTGCTCTTGGCCCTGCTCCTGAACTTGGTGAGTCTGTTGCTCTTGGCCGCTTCCTAGTGCCTCCCATCAGGGCAAGGCAAGCTGGGTACCTGACAGTGAGGAAGGGTCCCATGGCTGGGGGAGGTTTCCCATGCCTAAAGACAAGTGCTAGTGGAGGGGTCTTCAGGTCAAGGGGTTGAGAGGGTCAGAGAGACAAATGGATGGGACCTTAGCCTGTGGTCAAATGGGGACTGAGTCAGGTGCTGGAGGTGGATCCCGGGTGAACAACACCCGAAACATTCTGGGAAGAGGTCCTGTTACCATCCTTTCTTGCCCTCAGAGGTGGGTGATAGCATTTGGTGATGCAGAAGGTCGGATAAGGGGCTCTTATACAAACCCTTTAAAGGGACCCTGGTCTCAGTGTGGAGTCCAGCTGAGACTCAGCAATAGGGGTTCCCCTCGTCTCCCCATCTCCCCCTCCCACACTCTATCAGATCACTTCCTTTTCTGAGTAGCCCCATCACTGTCCCTCGAGAGGGTGTCCACCCACTAGCACCCTAAGCACAGCACATGCCCCCACGAGCCTCCCCATAGGCTCTTCCAGCCCCTTACTTGCTGTACTTCCTTCCCATACATTCTCCCTGGCCTCTCACTCTCCAGATAGACCCTGACTTTGCCAACTGGCCTTAAGGATTATGGGTGCTCTTGGTTTTCTCTGCAGGCCCAGGGTGAGCCCTACACACCCATCCACAAGCCTGGCTACTGCACCTCTTATGACGAGTGTGGGAAGAATCCAAATCTGTCTGGGGGCCTCACATCACTGTCCAATGTATCCTGCCTGTCTAATACGCCGGCCCGCCACGTCATAGGTGACCATCTGGCCCTCCTCCAGCGCATCTGTCCCCTCCTGTACAATGGCACCAGCACCACCTACGCCTGTTGCTCCCCTAGGCAGCTAGTGTCGTTAGAGAGGAGCATGTCTATCACCAAGGCCCTCCTCACCCGCTGCCCGGCCTGCTCTGACAATTTTGTGAGCCTGCACTGCCACAACACCTGCAGCCCTGACCAGAGCCTCTTCATCAATGTCACCCGCGTGGCTATGCGGGAAACCGGACAGCTTCCTGCTGTGGTGGCCTACGAGGCCTTTTACAAGCGCAGCTTCGCAGAGAAGGCCTATGAGTCCTGCAGCCGGGTGCGTATTCCCGCAGCCGCCTCACTGGCCGTGGGCAGCATGTGTGGAGTGTACGGCTCTGCCCTCTGCAATGCCCAGCGCTGGCTCAACTTCCAAGGGGACACAGGGAATGGCCTGGCTCCGATCGACATCACCTTCCACCTCTTGGAGCCTGACCAGGCCCCGGCAGACGGGATGCAGCCTCTGAATGGGAAGATCGCGCCCTGCAACGAGTCCCAGGGCGACAACTTGGCAGCCTGTTCCTGCCAGGACTGCGCAGCATCCTGCCCTGTCATTCCTCGGCCCCCAGCCCTGCGACCTTCCTTCTACATGGGTAGCATGCCAGGCTGGCTGGCCCTCATCATCATTTTCACTTCTGTCTTTGTATTGTTCACTGCTATCCTCGTGCGTCTCCGAGTGGTTTCCGACAGGAAGAAGGGCAAGACAACAGGCCTGCAGGAAGCCCCCAACCTCCCTTATAATCGCAAATTCTCACCTCACACTGTCCTTGGCCAGTTCTTCCAGAGATGGGGCACAAGGGTGGCCTCGTGGCCACTCACCGTCTTGACACTGTCCTTGATAGTTGTTATAGCCTTGTCAGTAGGTCTGATCTTTATAGAACTCACCACTGACCCTGTGGAACTCTGGTCGGCCCCCAAAAGCAAAGCCCGGAAAGAGAAGGCCTTCCAAGATGAGCATTTTGGCCCCTTCTTCCGAACCACCCAGATTTTTGTGACAGCTCGGAACAGGTCCAGCTACCATTACAACTCCCTACTGCTAGGGCCCAAGAACTTCAGCGGGATCCTGTCCCTGGATCTGCTGCTGGAGCTGCTGGAGCTGCAAGAAAGGCTTCGACACCTGCAGGTGTGGTCCCCCGAGGCACAGCGCAACATCTCCCTGCAGGATATCTGCTATGCGCCCCTCAAACCGCACAACACCAGCCTCTCCGACTGCTGTGTCAACAGCCTCCTTCAGTACTTCCAGAACAACCGCACGCTCCTGCTGCTCACGGCCAACCAGACACTGAGTGGTCAGACTGCCCTGGTAGACTGGAAGGACCATTTCCTCTACTGTGCAAAGTGAGTAGACCTGAGGAACCAGGCCAGAACACAGCTCCATCCTGCGGAGCCAGGGACAGCTCCGACGTCAGGGCCATCACGTGTCTGAGTCTATTTGAGTCCTTTCTTAGACCTCACCCCCATCTTATGCCTGTTCCCTGCAGGGCATTTGTCCTGTCAGTCCTTCCAGGTCTAGTCCACAGGACCTATCCTCCCATGATGCTCCTGATGTGGTGTTAGTTTAGTAATTTTTAGGCTTATTTTAACTTCACATGAATGAATATTTTGCCTGTGTATATGTATGTGCATTGCTTACATATGTATCTGGTGCTGAACAGGTCAGATGAAGTTGCTAGAATCTCAGGAACTGGAATTGAGGTCAGTTGTAAGCAGCCAGGTGGATCCTGGGAACCAAACTCTGGTCCTCTGCAAGAACAGCACTTAACCACTGAGCCCTCTCTCTCTTGACCTTCATAGAATCTTCATTTAAATCTCAAAAGTGATGGCTCAGGCAGTGTGCTTGTACTGTTGTTTTCCTGACTCATCGTCAGGATCTGTAGGGATTATGGTAGCTTCAGAATTGGCTAGAAATAAGTTCATTTGGGCTCAGCCAAGATGGCGGCTAGTCTCTGGCCTCAGGTATCAGGCCAGGTGTTCTAGGGTAATTTTGTCCATATCCCTATGCTGCTGAGGTTCTGCTTCAGGCTTTTTCCATGTTGGGTGGCATAAACAGGGTACCACGAGACCATCGGATGGAGAGAAGGGTGGTGAGAGGGCGAGTGGTGGAGGAGGCTCCCGGAGAGAGAAGTGGAGAGTGAAGTGCCTCAAATGGCCTTGCTGTCTCCACCCTGCTCGGGAGCAGACAAGGATGGCAGCAGGTAACGGCACCTGCCTGCTGTTATGAAAACAGTTTTGACCCTGCACCTCTCGGCCTCACATTCTTTAGAGCCATGAGAGTAGAGGAGAAAGCCTTTGCTGACTCTCCCTGCTACTGGCTGTCCATCCTCAGCTGAGCCTCAGGCGTGGGCTGCTTCCTAGAGTGTTCATGCTGTGGCCTTGGATACAGCAGAGAGGGCTGTGGAGAGGCACTGGGGGTACTGTGTGGTTAGTTGTTGCTTTTGATTTTATTTTAAGACAGAGTCACACTATTTGAGGTCGCCCTCAAATTCACTTTTTTTTTTTGCCTCAGTCTCCTGAGTACTGAGGTTGTGTAGGCCTACACTTGGCTTGTACTTTCTTTGTTTTTATTTTGGATGCTCCCAACTCTTGATTGAGCTCATTATATTAATTTCATAGACTGGAAAACTGAGGCTCAGAGTGGTATGGTAAGGTGCTTAAGGTCACACAGCAATTTAGTTCTCCGAGATAGCTCTATTGACCAATATACTCAGCTGCTCAGAGCTGAGAATGTATGCAAAGGGCTTTGTGCAGGCAGCCTGTTCTGTCTCCACAGAGGTGTGCTCTGTAGAAAGGGTTTTGTTGAAGGGGACAGGCTTGTCTAAGTGCACTGGCTGAGTAGCTGTAGACACAGGGCTCTGAGCTCCAGGGCTCAAGTCAACACTTGGAGGGTTTCAGACTCTGGGAGAGAGGACATGAAGAATAGCATTGAGGCCTGTACAGGAGACGGTCATGGGTCAAATCTGGGCCCATCACTTGATTGGATTGCTCATTTAGAACTGGGATAATGACAGGTTTGGAAGGTTTGGCAATGGGAAGGGACATGAGAAGCATGGAGAAACCATTCTACAGTATCTGCCCAAGGGAGACACCCAAGGTAGCTCCTTCCTCAGTGGACTAGTGAACCCACCTTGTGGGAAGATGGCCATATTGAACCCTCTGGGACAGGTAATCCGAAGTCACGGCTCCTCCTGCAGGGGGAGCTGAGGGTTTGGGGTAGGGTGGGGCCAAAGGAACCAGGCAGGGCCAGGAAAGGCTCTTTCCCTTTGTGGTTTCCTTGTAGTGCCCCTCTCACGTTCAAAGATGGCACGGCCCTGGCCCTGAGCTGCATGGCTGACTATGGGGCCCCGGTCTTCCCCTTTCTTGCTGTTGGGGGGTACCAAGGTAAGTGAGGTAGCCCTGGGAGGCTACTGAAGGGACAGTTTTAGGGGAGGAATGATTGGTAGGAGGGAGAGGTCATGGTGATGAGTGTTTTCAGTACCTGGGGGCCTGGCTTACGGGGGCTGAAGATGGTGCTTCCTGTCTCCCCTCTGCCACTCTCCTCGTTTCTTAATGCTGCCCAGGAGCTCTGGTTTTGTGCTTTTCTCTGGGGAAGGGAAATGGAGCATGGGATAAGGCAACTATTGGAGTTGGGAAGCAAGAGAGGAACAGGAATGGGGGAAGGTTACAGCTTGAGGGGAAGAGGGGCAAGGGTGCAGTAGGAGGGAGACTCAGAGTTTCTCTTCCCAGGGACGGACTACTCCGAGGCAGAGGCGATGATCATAACCTTCTCTCTCAATAACTACCCTGCTAATGATCCCCGCATGGCCCAGGCCAAGCTCTGGGAGGAGGCTTTCTTGAAGGAAATGGAAGCCTTCCAGAAGAGCACAGTTGACAAGTTCAATGTTGCATTCTCAGCTGAGGTAGGGACCCTGGCAAGTTCCTGGTTCTATGTTTGCAATCCATAATAGTGTGGATCAATTCCAGCCAAACCCACATCCTGGCTCTACTTGCTCCTGAATGGCCCTGGGCAGTGAACGCCTGTACCCACCCAGATATGGTGCTTGTGTTAGAGGCTCAGGCAGTTCCCCAGAGCATGCAGCGGGCCACCCATTATAGAAACTCAGAACGTGGTCAATGAGCTGGTTGTGTGCTTGCAGCGCTCTCTGGAGGATGAGATCAACCGTACCACCATCCAGGACCTGCCTGTCTTTGCCATCAGCTACATTATCGTCTTCCTGTACATCTCCCTGGCCCTGGGCAGCTACTCCAGATGGAGCCGAGTATTGGTGAGAGCGAGAAGGATACAGCAGGAGGGACCCAGAGCCTAGAACATCTCCAGAAGGCTTTCTAAAGCTCCCCAAGAGAGGGCACCTTAAAATAGCAAGTTGGACACATCCAAAGAGAACTCCTTGAAGGGTAGTATCTCTTGAATGTGTTCTGTGTTGAAAGGCTTAAGGATCCTACTCTCTAACATATATTCCCACGGTTCATATGCAAAACTACCATTTAAAAGGCCATGCGATGCAATTCTAGCAAGATGCAGCGAGGCACACTTGCACTTTTTGGTGCCATGAGCCTGCCCTTGGGAGGCTGGTTTAGCATAGAGACTTAAATGCACACATGGGTTCTTCATTGAGGTGTTTGGCATGTGAGTACCAAGGGTGCCTGTCTGCTCTTCACCCAACCTGGGGAGTAAGGAGGATCTGGGCAGGTGCCCTGGCATCCAATTTGCTGAGCCTCACTCAATTGCAGGTGGATTCCAAGGCTACTCTGGGCCTAGGTGGGGTGGCTGTTGTGCTGGGAGCAGTCGTGGCTTCCATGGGCTTCTACTCCTACCTGGGTGTTCCGTCCTCTCTGGTTATCATCCAAGTGGTACCTTTCCTGGTGCTGGCCGTGGGAGCTGACAACATCTTCATCTTTGTTCTTGAGTACCAGGTAAGAAGGGAGGGGTTTTTCATTCCCATTGACAACCCAACATCCTCATTAGGCAAAGCCCCACACAGAGTTGCCTATGTCCTTGCAGACTCTTCTCTGTAAGCTTTATCCATTTAGGAAACAGCCTGGGTTGCCACTTATTCATCCATACTCCTGTGTCATCTTGAACTTGCTTTCTGTTAAACCCCCACAATGTCCAGTGAGCTTTCTAATGTATTAGATACCGCCTCCTGCCTTTACACTACCATGTGAGGCATTCCATGGCATAAGCTCAAACTACTGCCCATTTAGCCTCTCTTTGCTGTCAAACACTTAGAGCGACGAGAATGCTCAGTCCTTTTCATAGCTAGAATTTACCAAATGGTTCTTTAGGATACAACACAGAAGCAGAAAGTATGGCTGTGAGTTGTTGCTAGGCTCCTCTGTCTCCAGAAGGTCTGACAGGTCCTCGGCGTTATCCAGGACTCTAAGCCCTTTACCACCCCACTGCTAGCCTGTAAGGTTTGGTGACCTTGGCAGACCCTGTGTACTCTGTCTCTTTTCCCACACAGAGGCTGCCTAGGCTGCCTGAGGAGAAGCGAGAGGCCCACATTGGCCGTGCCCTGGGCAGTGTGGCCCCCAGCATGCTCCTGTGCAGCCTCTCCGAGGCCATCTGCTTCTTTCTGGGTGAGCAGGGGCTGTCCTTCTCTACCTGGGAGCAGGCCTGCTAGGTTACTCTAAGAGGGGGCACAGGCTCTCAGAGGCAGTGAATGTTTCCTGCTTTCAGCTGTCGGTGCTTGCATCTGGCCCATGATGCCAGGATGGTCTGACAGACTCTGTTCCCCCATCAGGGGCCCTGAACTCCATGCCTGCTGTGCGGACCTTTGCCTTGACCTCTGGCCTTGCCATCATCCTCGACTTCCTGCTCCAGATGACCGCCTTTGTGGCACTGCTTTCTCTGGATAGCAAGAGGCAGGAGGTAAAGACAACTGGGCCAGAACCAAAGGACTTACCCTGACTGCAATACACATTTTCTGGAAGATATGACATTACTACCAGGAGAGTTGGGTGGGAGGTGGGGCATGGTTCTGAGAGGTTATTTGGGCTCTGTGTTCTCCAATTTCCCATAGAAAGAGATTTCATTTTTAGTTATTTTTGGCAGTATCATCAAACCTCCTAAAAGTAGGTAAGTTTGCAAAATAAATTATAAATAAGTTAGCAGGAATCACGCTGGTGTTTTTTGATGATGTAAAATTCAGTATTTGATTAAGGCAGGAAGTAAAAGCAACAAAATCTGCAGTGGCCATCACCCGGACTTCCCCGGGTAAGGTGGATCCTGGGATCTGCCATGGACCCAGTCTTGAGAGGTTGTCGTCCTCTAGGCCTCTCGCCCTGACATCTTATGCTGCCTTTCATGCCGGAAGCTGCCCCCACCTGAACAAAAAGAGGGGCTCTTACTCCGCTTCTTCCGAAAGATATACACTCCCTTCCTGCTGCACAGGTTCATCCGCCCTGTTGTGGTATGTGGGCTGAGAGGCTGGACCACTTTGGAGGAGAGACTGGGAGGAGCGTGGTTGGGGGCTGCCCAGGCCCAGGCTGGATACTTGGAGCTAGAGCTTGAGTCTGTCCAACTCCAGGCTGTTTCCCAAGATGCCCAGCAAAGCCATTCAAGTTTGAGGGAAGATGAAGGCTGTCTGGGGAGAGGTTCTCACGTGCCGGTTTCTCCCTCAGTTGCTGCTGTTTCTGGCCCTGTTTGGAGCAAATCTCTACTTCATGTGCCACATCAGCGTAGGGCTGGACCAGGAGCTGGCTCTGCCCAAGGTGAGCCTGGCCTCCTCTCAGCCTGAGAGGGGCAGCAGTGCCCTGCAGGTGGAGTGGGAGTGGCTGCGGAGCGGGCTGGAACAGACACAAGGACTGTAGAGGTGTGGGTGGGGCAGGGTGGAGCGGAGACCCACACAGACAAGGCTTGGCACCATGCAGAGCTGCTCTAAGTGGACCCTGAGAGGGTGAACCACATCCTTGTTCGGGAAGTACAAGGGCTGAGTGCTGGCTCAGGACACAGTCGAGGTCCTGTGGTGGAGGGCTAGCCATGCGGCTATCCTCATGGAGGGATACCATTTTCTTCTATGTGACTTCTCACCAATACCTGTGTTGGGATTTATTACTTTATGTGCACGAGCGTTTTGCCTGCATGTATGTTTGTGTGCCACGCGGGGGCCTAGTGCCCTCAGAAGTCAGAAAGAGGGTGTCGATCCCCTGGGACTAGAGTTACAGATGGCTGTGTTGCAGAGCAGCCCTGTGTGTGTGTGCTGGCATTCAAACCCGGCTGCTCTGTCCCCAGCACTTGTTATTCTCCTGTGTTTTTAATTTTTTGGTGCTGGGGGTCAAATCTCAGATCTCCTACTTGTTGGGAAAGCGCTTTTCCAGTTAGCCATAAAGTCATACCCCTTGCCTGTCTTCTGTTTTTTGTTTTGTTTTTGTTTGTTTGTTTGTTTTAATTAACAGTTACAGCACAGGGTATGAAGTTGTTTCTATGTGCTTGTACTGGTGGGTTCTTTTGTTTTGTTTTGCTTTTGTTGACACTGGTAGCCCAGGCTGGTCTGGAATGCCCTGTTTTCTTGCTTTGGTCTCTTGGGTCACTTGGCAGCACCAATGCTGGCTTTATAGCAGTTTTAATTTGTACTTTTCTTTCTTTCTTTTTCTCTTTCTTTCTTCCGTCCTTTTTTTCTTTCTTTTATTCTTTTCTTTTTCTTTTTGTTTTTTGAGTCAGTGTTTCTCTGTGTAACCCTGGCTGTCCTGGACTCCCTTTGTAGACCAGGCTGCTCTCTAATTCATGGCAATCACCCTGCCTCTGCTTCTCCCAGTGCTGGGGTTATAGGCATGTGCCACCACATCCAGAATGATTTGTATTTTCAGCAATAGAAATGTTATACATCTTTTCAAGTACATATTGATCACCTATGTATCTTATTTAAGAAAAAATGTGTTTAAGCGTTGCTCATTTTTTTAAATTGTTTTTCTTGATGTTGCTGAGTCCAAAGCATTCCCTGTGGATTCTGGAGATTGGTGCCTTGTCAGAGACCTGATTATCAGCTGGTTTTCTTTTTTTCTGTGGGCTACCTTTTTATTCTAGTGGTAGTCTTAGTATGTAAAACATTTTAAAATATCCACGGAGTCCTTTTTCTTTTATTGAGTGACTTTGGTGTCATGTTGAAGAAATAATTGCCAAATCCAAAGTTATGAAGTTCTTCCTGTTTCTACTAAGGGTTCTTATAGCTTCAGAGCTTATATTCAAGTCTTTGATTCACTTAAATTCTTTGGGTTTTTTTGTTTGTTTGTTTTTGTTTTTTGAGACAGGGTTTCTCTGTGTAGCCCTGGCTATCCTGAAACTAGTTCTGTAGACCAGGCTGGCCTTGAATTTAAGAGATCTGTGCGCCTCTGCCTCCAAGTGCTAGGACTAAACGGGGTCAAGCCCCCCCACCCCCTTTGAGCTGATTTTTATCTACGGTGTTACGAAAATGGCTACATTTTAATTCCATTCAGCTTGCCCAGGACCACTCACTAAAATGGATAGCTTTCCTCCAGGCACTCTTGCCAAAAATCATTCAAGCATGCGTGTTTAAAGCTCCTTGTTTTGCCCCCTCGATCTCCATGCTGCGCTATCGTGTCAGTACTGCACTGCTTTGATTCTGTGGTCAAGCTTCAAACCAGAAAGCGTGAGTCTTTCAAATCTGTCAAGATCGCTTGGCCATTTGAGTTCTCTAGAGAGTACATTTGAATTTTACTTTGAAATTTTTAGATTTCTTTAAAAGCTGCCGTCAGTGCTTATGAAGGGATCGCACTGAATGTGTAGGTGGCTTTGCTTTGACAGTACTGATGGCTTAACAACATTTGTCATCCAGTCCATGAACACAGGATGTGTTTCAGTTTCTGTTTTCCGTAATTTCTAAGAACCACATCCTCCTACACTTTTTTTTTTTTTTTTTTTTTTTTTTTTTCTGAGACAGGAGTTCACCATGTAGCCCTCCCTTACTACGTACTCACCACGTAGATCAGACTGGACTCGAACTCACAGAGATTGCCTAGCTCTGCCTTCTAAGTCCTGGAACTTAAGGCATGTGCCACCACACTGGGCCTAAGCCACTGGCTCCCTGCAAGTTCAGTATGCACCCTTACCACTGAGCTACGTGCTTAGCCCTCCTCTCTGAAGGTCAGTTTTGCTGGAAATAAGATTCTTGTCTCCCTTTAGTACTTTGAATATATAAACTCACTGTCTCCAAGGTTGCTGGTGAGGAAGGTGGAAACAATTGCATTGTACCTTACCTGGAGACAAGCCATTTCTCTTGTGTTGTCTCCAGTGCTCTTTGCTGTTGGCTTTTGACAGCTGTGTTACAATGTGCTTTGGGCTAGGGTTGCTTCAGATTGTCCTAGTAGGCCTTGCCCAAGTTCTTTTAGTGTTTCTATTCATGCCTTTCATCAATTTGGGGGAGTTTTTGGCTATTGTTTCTTAAAAAAAAAAAAATCCATTTCTTCCATCTCTCTCCTCTTCTGAAATTCTTACAATGCATGTGTGGGTGTATTCCATGTCTCCCAGGGCCTGTCTGTGTGTGTGTGTGTGTGTGTGTGTTGGTGTGCACTTTATGTGTGTATCAGGGCGTGCTCCTCTAAGTACACAGTTGTGTGTATCTCAGTCTGTATTGTGTACATATGTATGCCTGCACTCTGCATGTTTCTGAGTCAGTTCCTTTCCGTGTGCCTCTGAGCATCTACCTTGTGTGTGCACCTCTCAGTGTGTTTCCCTGCATTCTTGTGTTTACCTCAGTAGGCACATTCTAAGCATGCACCTCTGTATGACCTGGGGCAAGCCCATTACAGATACCCCTGAGACTCACAGATGGTCTTCTTCCCCAGGACTCGTACCTGATCGATTACTTCCTGTTTCTGAACCGCTACTTTGAAGTGGGGCCTCCGGTGTACTTTGTCACCACCTCGGGCTACAACTTCTCCAGCGAGGCAGGCATGAACGCAATTTGCTCTAGTGCAGGCTGTAACAGCTTCTCCCTAACCCAGAAGATCCAGTACGCCAGCGAATTCCCTGAACAGTAAGTGGTTGGTCTCCCCCGCACCCTGGCTTGCTCCTTCTCTGCTGCCTGTCTCCTCTCCTGTTCCCTCTCTCTGCGTGCTCTGCCTCTGCAGCTAAGAAAGCCAGAGGAGGCCCAGAGGAGGTCAGGAAGGAGTCACCACCAGGCTCACCTACTCCTAGTCACTCTACCTACTCCTCTCCACTGTCTGGCCTCAGGTCTTATCTGGCTATTGCTGCGTCCTCTTGGGTAGATGATTTCATTGACTGGCTGACCTCATCCTCCTGCTGCCGCCTTTATCACTCTGGCCCCCATAAGGATGAGTTCTGTCCCTCAACTCATAGTGAGTATGGGGCTGCAGGGGTACATTGCCCATTACAGCTTAGAGAAACTGAGGCAAGAGAGTAGAAAGGATTGGTAAGGCTCTCAGTCCTCCACCAAACCCACAGGGTCCAGGAAGGTTAGGCCTTAAGCATTCATACGTGTTTGAGTTATGGAGTATTATGCTGTTGTTTGCAGAGCATGCTGGTTGTGGGCAGTGGGCAGTGGGGTTGGGGGTGGAGCTCTGGCCCCACAGGTGGAGGGCTGTGTTTGACAGGTGTAGGAGATCCCATTTCTGCGCTTAACTTCCCTTTCCTACCAGCCTGTCAGGACCAGGAGGGGCACATGTCCCACAGCTGGGGGTGGCAGATATAAACTTCTCAGAACTGGGGGCTCTAGACTGGGGCACAGAGTGGAAGTTAGAGCAGGACCTGCCTTGCCTGACATGTCAATGCTCAGAGTCCCCCCCTCTCTGCAGTTTCCTTGAACTGTTTAAAAAAGTGCATAGACCTGGGCTCCGGGAGGCCCACAGCAGAACAATTTCACAAGTACCTGCCATGGTTCCTGAATGATCCACCCAACATCAAATGTCCCAAAGGGTAGGTCCAGACAGTGGCTCCTACTGGAGACAGGGGGTACTTATGGGTTCCAGAGATGGTGGACACAGAGGGACAGTAGTGGCCAGCTAAGGCCTTTCTTGGGTACAGTGAGTCGGTGGGCAGGACAAGATCTCATCCCCTCTAAGTCTCTACTCTGGCCTCCTTTTTGCAGGGGTCTAGCAGCGTATAGAACCGCTGTGAATTTGAGCTCCGATGGCCAGGTTATAGGTAAGTGCAGCCTAGAATCAGGAGAAGGTCTCAAGTCAGCTAGCTATTGTAGAGTTTCCCAAGAGCACCTACTTGTGTGTGGTGTGTGTGTATGGTGTGTGTGTGTGTGTAACTGTCATGGGCCTGTCAGCAATGGTCTTATTTCCCAACTCCATGAGCCAAGACTTCACCCATTCTCCCATACAAAGTCCATGGCCACTGTGAAGTGTGTGGCAGATTTTGTAACAGCTGATGTCATACTTGGGAGCCACCCATGCCAACACATATCCACTCCTATCTTACGGAGATGTCAGCAGCAGCAGCTGGCTAAGTGAGGTAGGAAGCCTTCTTGTAGAGGAATCCCAAGAGCCCTCAACAGAAACAAGGGGGATGAAGCAGGATGTGGTGGCTCACGCCTTTAGTTTATCCAGGACTCAGGGAGGCAGAGGCAGGTGGACTGCTGTGTGTTCGAGGCCAGTCTGGTCTACAGAGTGAGTTCCAGGACAGCCAGGGCTACACACAGAGAAACCCTGTCTCAAAAAAGAAACAACAACAACAAAACACCCAAGGGGGGATGAAGCCAGACTTGTGGGGAGAAGGATCCCAGTGCACTGTCACCTGAACACAGCAGGTGGCAGAACCAGCCAGCCATTTGCACGGAGGAGCCAGCTGCAGTTAGATCAGTGCACACTGGTGTGAGCACCCTGGAGGAGCTGGCACAGAGGTGGACTGGGTGGTAGATGGGGAGCTTTGGATCAATTCATTTTTTGCCAAAACAACTGAGTTGGCATCACTTGCTACAAGCTGCCCGTAGCAACCTTACTTCACCCGCTGAGCTAACTCTTCTATGAAGTCCCTGTCTTCCAAGAAGGCAGCCCACCATACCCTGGTCCTCATATCTAGGCAGCAAAGGCATGCAGAACCCATGTAGTTCAAAGGGGGTGGGGCATGATAGACAGAGGAGTGGGTTGTTTCTTGGAGAGAACAGACAGCCCCCGCTCTGTGGAAGGCCTGCATCCATCATGGACCCTACTATCCTACATCAGCATCTTTCAAAGTGAGAGCTCCCTCCCTCCCCCAACAGTATCAGCAGCATCAGGAGATTGCTGACATGTGCGCAGCAATGTCTTGCCTACATGCCAGACTGAATCTCTGGATGGGGATGACCATCCTTCTGGGTGTGAACCATCACCAGGTGCTCAGAGGTCTGGCATTGGGTTCCACAGGCACCTACTACTTTAAGACCGTGTGTCAGAGACTATGTCTCACCTCCTCTGTTTTCCCTGTGTGTGACTGGTCCTCGTTTCTTTTGCTGACACAATACCTGCTGAACACAATTAGCAAACATTGTTTATTGTACTTACTGGCAGGATCCCAGTCTAAAAGTCACAGCTCTAATAATTCACTCATTTTTGTTTACCTGTCTTCTTTTCTAGTCCGTTCCTATAGGAATAGGGAAACTGAAAATTATTATTATTTTTTGAGACAGGGTCTAACGTAGCCCACAGTAGTCTAAAACTTTTTATGTGGTGCTGAACTCCTGAGTCTCCTGCCTCCCGGGCACTGGGACCATAAGTATGAAACACCACACTCCAGCAAAAACCAGGCTAAGTTTTTGTTTAGAAATCCAGCACAAGCATGGTGGTACTGGAGCATGCCTTTAATCCCAGCACTCGGGAGTGGATTTCTGTGAGTTCGCCTATTCTACAAAGGTAGTCCAGGACAGCCAGGGCTACACAGAGAAACCTTGTCTCGACAAACAAAAACAACCCCCCAACCAAAACAAACAAACAAACAAAAAACCAACAACAAAAAAATCCAGTGCATATTTTGAAAGCACACATAGAAGAATTTGGTTTCAGAGGCTGGAGAGATGGCTCAAGAGTTAAAAGCACTGGCTGCTCTTCCAGAGGACCCAGGTTCAATTCCCAGCACCCACATGGCAGCTCACAACTGTAACTCATGTTCCAGGAGATCTCATACCCTCACACAGACATATATACAGTGAAAACACCAATGTACATTAAATAAAAATATATAAATAAAAAGGATTTGGTTTCAACAGGGAGATCTTTTACTTTTGTTTTGCTTTTGAGACAGTACTTCACTCTCTAGCCCAAGCTGGCCTTGAACTTGAGGTAATTTTGCTACTTCTGTCTGCTGGGTTCTGGAATTATAGGTGGTAGGCAAGGGGTGATCTTTTAGGCTTCATCTATCAAAGTCAGACCTTGACCTCAGAGAGGGGCAGAAGTAGCTACGGTTTGGGGGCACTGGTGCAAAGTGCAAATGCAGGCCTTGGGGCTGGAGAGACGGCTCAGAGGTTCAGAGCACTGGCTGCTCTTCCAGGGGATCCATAGCTGATTCCCATGTGGCTGTTCATAACTTCCTTTAACTCCAGTTACAGGAGATCCCATGCTCTCTTGTGGCTTCCATGGGCACCAGGAATGCATGTGGTACACAGACATTCATGCACGCAAAACACTCACACACATTAAAAATAAATAAATTCATATATAAATAAATGAGAAAAAAAAAACAGGTCTAGTAGAAAATCCATCAGGAATTTCAGGTTGTGCTGGTGGAACCCTGAACCCAGTCTGATCACATGTCTGTGTCAGTCTCTGGGACATGCCAATGGCTATTGACCCTTGACTTTTCTACTCTCATTGTGTTATGACCATTCAGCCTCCCAGTTCATGGCCTACCACAAGCCCCTGAGGAATTCACAGGACTTCACAGAAGCTCTCCGGGCATCCCGGCTGCTAGCAGCCAACATCACAGCTGAACTACGGAAGGTGCCTGGGACAGACCCAGACTTTGAGGTCTTCCCCTACACGTGAGAACTGGGGGCCTGAGCCAGGGATGTGGAGGTTGCAGGCTTTGTGTGATCTTGAGGGATGAGAACCAACTCTGTTTCAGGTGTCTTCCGGGGTAAGCTTGGGGCCTGTCCGTTTCTTACACGGGCCAGAACCCAACTCAAACCTCTGAGGCTCATGTTTTCCTTCTGAAATGGGAGGCCCTTCCCTCCTGAAGGGCTGGTGCTTTGACCACACCCTGATCTCTGGCAGGATCTCCAACGTGTTCTACCAGCAATACCTGACCGTCCTCCCTGAGGGGATCTTCACACTCGCCCTCTGCTTTGTGCCCACCTTTGTTGTCTGCTACCTCCTACTGGGCCTGGACATTCGCTCAGGCATCCTCAACCTGCTCTCCATCATTATGATCCTCGTGGACACCATCGGCCTCATGGCTGTGTGGGGTATCAGCTACAATGCTGTGTCCCTCATCAACCTTGTCACGGTAACCTGCAGAATAGGCCACAGATGGCCATTGGCAGCTGGGGATCTGGACTCATAAGCTACCCCCAGTTCTATGTGGAATCTAGGACCCTGCCTGGTGTTCTTTCTCATCCCCTGAAGCCCCCTTCTCTTGCCTCTAGGCAGTGGGCATGTCTGTGGAGTTTGTGTCCCACATCACTCGGTCCTTTGCTATAAGCACCAAGCCCACCCGGCTGGAGAGGGTCAAGGATGCTACCATCACCATGGGCAGTGCGGTGAGTGGGGAGGGACGGGTCAGCCTGTGCTCCATCTGACCCATCACGTCCTCCCTGACTCCTGGCTATGACCTCCACCAGGTGTTTGCTGGAGTGGCCATGACCAACTTCCCAGGCATCCTCATCCTGGGCTTTGCCCAGGCCCAGCTTATTCAGATCTTCTTCTTCCGCCTCAACCTCCTCATCACCTTGCTGGGCCTGCTGCATGGCCTGGTCTTTCTGCCCGTCGTCCTCAGCTATCTGGGTGAGTACCCATGCCCACCCGGCCAGGATGTCACAGCTATGAGTATTGACTAAAATGGTACCTGCTCCCTTGGAAAACTCAAGGAGTCCAGGCCAAGCTCATGACCATACTTCCTACTTTGGAAGCTTTTGTTTTTCATTTAATATGCTGCAAACAATGTTGCAAACATTGACTGTGTCTTAAACACTGTGTGGTCTGCTGTTAGGTTTTTGTGTGCACGCATACACAGGTACTCATACATACACACACACAAAAACACAGACACACACAAAGACATACACAGACACAGACTCACACTCAGACACACACAACACACACACTCATACACAGATACACATTCATACTCAAACACACAGACACATACACAGATACACACAAATATACACAAAGACACACACTCATAACATATACACACAGACACACACACACACTTACAACATACACAGACACACACTCATAACATACTCACATACAAAGACACACACGACATATACATACTCATATATACACTCACACACAGACACACACACACTCACAACATACACACACAGACACACACATTCATAACATACATACACTCACACACAGACACACATACTTACACACTCACACACATACACTTCCAGACATACAAACTCACAAAGACACACAGACACACACAGTCACACTCACAGACATGGACATACACAAAGACACACAGATAACACACTCACACAGACACACTATAGACACATAGACACACACAGACACTATGCACGCATAGACACACACACACAAACACACACACTTTTCTAGAGATGGCACATTGCACATGCTAGGCAAGTTCTGTAGCGCTGAGTCACACCTCAGCACAGAAGTATATTTTACACTGAGAAATGACGTGTATGGGCACACAAACAAACATGAAACTGGGGCTCTCCCTCATTTCTGGGGTCATTGGCCACTGGTCCTCAGGAGCCAGGGAGCAGAGGTGATAAACTGGAGGTTCAGTGGCCATGAGCATGAACTGAGAGAACCTTCAAGGCCCAGTTGCACAGAGACAGATCAATTTTATTTGGGGTGAACGAGGGTTACACAGAACTTGGGGGAGGGGTGGGGACATCCAGGTTGGGCGAATGTCATTGGGTGAAGGGCTAAGGTACTGAGATCCTCGCTAACACGGAGAGGCATCAGGACTCCCAGGTGCTTGCTGAACAAGTTCTTATAGGGACTTGGAAAGGGAGTTGGACCTGTAATTTCCCCAATGTCTACATGACGTTTCTCAGGTGGAGGGTGTGGGGGTCAAGGTTCCCCCTGGCAGAGAAGAGGAAGCCTTGCTGGCAAAGGGAGTTTTCCATTTTGCACCGAGCTCAGGGCTTTCCGGCAGTGGCAGATCTCAACCTTAGCATCAGGGTTTCCCAACATGAAACCAAGACAAGTATCTCACAAAACAGTCCTTGCCCTTAATACACAAAACATTCTGATATTTCTGATTCTGTCCTTTCATTGATTGGAAAATTCTGGTGTTGGTCTACAAGTTTCATTTAATGATTCGGTAATGGGTAATAACTCACAGTTTGAAAATACTACCCTATTTCAAATGTTGGTCTTTGGCATTTCATTTCTCTCAGTGGCAGAAGGCAGGTGGGGGCAACAGGAAGTGGCGCCCTTTCGTACTACAGCCCTGTGTAGGTCTTGGGTATGAGGACCCTTAGCCCTGTCGCCTCCAGAGTTTCTGTTCTCTGTCCAGGTCTTGGCATCTTTGGCTCTGACGACTTGGCTCTTTCGGCAATCTGAACTTATAGCTTCTCTTCTGAACTCCTTAGAGCCTTAGTTCTCTGTCCTCTCTTTCAATTTGTCACCTTCTTCTTGCCCTGGCTGCTCTCAAGCAGTGGCTTTGAGTACCTTGTTGCCTTGTTGCTGTCTCCCTTGGCCTTCTCTTTGCTCAGCTGTTGGTGTCCAGTAGAGTGCTCTGTCCCTTTGTGGCCACTTTCATCCTGGTACCAGCTTAGCTCTCACTTCTAAGAGGAAGTAAGAAAAGATCATCCATGCGGCCTGATGCTGCAACACCAGGGGGCGGCCTGAGACGTTGTCTGAGGGGACGCTGAGCATCTTGCTCATATAACAAGAAAAAGTGTGCTTCGGCCAATCACAGTTTATGTGTTTGGAATCACAGTCTTGATTCTTAGTATCAACTGTAGTCACTGAGGCTGTTTTGGGACAGTCCCAGCTTTCCTTCTTAGGATCAGTTACGTCCTGGTTTGTGCTTTCAGACGACCATGACGGTGCCTCTTAGCATCAGTTACACCGCCAGGGGGAATGTTCACCCTGGGGCTGGTGCAGGCACAGGGTTGTCTGGCTGGTAGGATCTTTTTTTTCCCCTCAAGGCAGCCAGAATAGCAAGGAAGAATCCCACAGCTGCTGCTTAGGAAGGCGGATTGCCCTATCCTGCGACATCTTTGCTTGGGACACAAACACCAGAAGGAGTGTTTAAAATATAATCTGAAAAACTTCTCAGAACTAATAATGGTTTTAGTAGATTTTTAATGGTGCTTCAATGCTGAACTCACCAAGTGCCCCAGGGAGAAGCAGGTTTCCCTTATCCATCTCTCTTCCTCCACTGTCTAAGCAGCTTGCAACAGCTGGTCATTAGGTTATCTCTGCCTCTATGTACTGCAGTGACTGACCTTGTGACTGAATTTTTGACCTTGTCATCCAACATTTTCTTAGAGTAAACCTGGAGATGTTGATTATTGATGCAAGTTGTTAATTCTCTCCACAAAGTATGATGATGATGGTGACGATGACATTACAGTCATCTATAGAAACTCACTAGCTATCTTTGGGGAGGAGAATGTGTGTATTGGGGACAGTAAGACACAGGCCTGGGAGATGTAGTGAATTGTGAGCCCAGGGTCTCAGAGCCATAGGCTTGAAGTTTCTAGACTGAGAGGGCCTGGGAAGCGCCAAGGACCTTGCAAGTTTCCCATCCCCAGTGCTGCAGCTGTAATCAGGAATACTCTGGAAACTAGGGCTATGCAGACAGAGCTCCCCAAAGGCACGTGGTAAGTGCAGAGCCCTGCTCCCTGGCTGGCTTTGCCTCGGGTTTGTTGTACAGAGTAAGGAACCAGGCTTTTTAGAGGAGGGTTGCCTATGGTGTCAGCACTAGATTGTCCCAGGAAGAAAGGGACAGAGTGGGTGTCAGGGAGGCTCTTGAGAGAGCATGCCTGCTGAGGGAGACTGGTGAGGGTGGTGGAAATGCCAGCTGAAATGGCTGTTGGTGGGTGAGGTGAGAGCAAGGAGGTGCAGATGAAGTCAGAGGCCACCTCCCACTAGATTTGCATTTCTGGCTGTGATCTCTGTGCCATCTGCATGCCTCTCTGACCACAGGTGTGCGTTCTTCTTTCTCTTCTGCAGGGCCTGACGTTAACCAAGCTCTGGTACTGGAGGAGAAACTAGCCACAGAGGGAGCAACACCTGTAGAGCCTTCTTGCCCAAAGTCCCCCTTCCCTGCCGATGGAAACAGCTATGAAAACACCTATGACTATGTTAACCCCAGCTTTGTTGAATGTACCCCTGGAGCTAGTGCTGCTAGCAGCTCTTTGCCCAAATATGACCAAAAGTTCTAACGGAGTAAGAGCTCATCCAGGCTCCATGGCTCTTGCTGATGAGGGGCCACCAGGGGCTTCCCTCTGGTTGTCCTCAAGGCCTGGGGGAGGTTGTTCTAGAAAAATGGCCAGCACTCTGGCTATGAGGCAGCCAGCAGCATTGGCAATGGCCGCTTTGCTCCCATTACCAGGTTTCTAATGCCTTGGTCAGTGTGAGACTACCTTCTCCTTCTGCCCAGGGTTCTGGAATTGCTAAGAACACATTTGTCTCAGGCTCAGCCATAGTATATATTTCTCACTCAGCTTTTCCTTCCCTTGTCAAAAATATTCCCAGGGGCTGGAGAGATGGTTCAGAGATGTTGTTCTCAGCGAGGACCCGGGTTCAGTTCCCAGAAACTACGTAGTAGTTCATAACCATCTACAATTCCAGTTTCAGGGGTTTAACACCCTCTTCTGACCTTCACAGGCACCAGACATGTATGTGGTACACATATGCATGTGCAGGCAAAGGGATTATACACAGGAAGGAAACAAATAAATCTAAAAAAGAAAAATATCTCCAGAGCCACAGTGGGTGAAGGTGATTGCCAGAAAACTCCGTGACCTGAGTTTGATCCCTGGATCTCACATGATGGAAGGACAGAACCAACTCTTTCAAGTGCTACACACACACACACACACACACACACACACACACACACACACACAAATAAATAAATAAACAAACAAAATATGAAAATTAATAAAATCTCAATTCTAGGATGAGGTCACAGCTTAGTGCTAGAGCATGGTAGCCTCACAAATGAGTTGCTACCTTCAGTCCTCAGCACTGAAAATGGCAGAGAAAGAGAGTCCCAGCCTTGTCCCTAACATGTTACTGCTTCCAGTGACATTAACTGCCTTTGTTCACCAGTGCCCCTGTGACATAAAAAAAAAAAAAATCCCCATTCTATGCCAGCAAGTCTTTTAACATTCACCAGCACCCTGAGAACAGAGAGTGAGCCCACCCTGGGCGGTGACATTGTAGGACATCTTCCTGTGGGAGGTTTTCACAGTACTCATCTGGAAGATGGCATTCAGTTTGGCCTCCAGTTTCAGCAAGTATTAAGCCCGAGGCCAGCTGTGTGTCTGTCTGAAGGCTGACAGCTTCTGGGCTGGGCAGGTTTTCTGGCATAGGTCTTGTGGCTTGGAGCCCAGGCCCATTGGCTTCAGATCTGCCTGGTCTGATCCTGGTGCATCGGTTGCAGCAGAGACCAAGGAAATACCTTGTTCTTTGGGAAGAACAGAGTGCTTAATAAATATTTGTTGAATAGAAATGGTGTTTTCATCAAAAGTCCTGCTCTGAATGCTTCTGGGTTAAGGATAATTTTTGCACAGGACACAATGATACATATATTGTGGAGTGGTTTATGGAAATATTATGTTTTGTTCTATTTTTCCTATCTATTCAAAAGAGAATAGCCTTGTGACATGTTCACTTGCCTTATGAGAGAGCCTGTGTTGGGCAGGAGTACTGTCCTTCACTGTGAGGTACAGGGTTAGAACACAGGGCTTTCCCCTTGCCCAGAGCAGCCTGTGACATAGGCACATTTTGAGAACCCGCCAGAGAACCCCAGGGTGCACTCAGGATCAAAGGATTGTTTCAGTAAACTACCAGACCCAAAAAGGTGCCCTTCTGGGGTGTGGCTCCATATCCCCTTTCAAACCTTTTCACTCCCTCTGTCCAGCTTCTCTTTGGCTGAGTAGCAGCTGGAGCTCCTCCTGTGATAAATGGGAAGGAGCTAGCATCTCTGGAAACTACTGTCTGTTTCTGGTCTGCAGACTCCCTCTGTCTCTCACACTACTAGCCGACAAGGGCTGCTGGCAGGCCAAGAAGGATAGGAAATCTGATTAAAGGAGATCTGCCACAGAATAGAGAGAATGGACCTCACAAGTCACCTCGTTAGAACTCTACAGCTGCAGGGTACATACATGCGTTTGGAGAACAAAACAGGTTCTGCAAACAATGCCATTTCAAATCAGGGAAGAATAGACCTAGTTCATGACATGGTAGCAGCTATTGAGTCATTGGATCAAAATAAAGTATCCACGGGTCACATCACACTAACAATAAAATTAACCGTCCTATGCATGCCACTGGGGAAGAAAGTGTTACTTTATCTAACCCACCTGTAAACTAAGCCAGCTGTAACAACTGGCCTGGCAGGATCTGTCCACAAGTGCAGTAGTGACATACGGGCTAACCATTTTCTAATTTTTAAAAACACGCCCATGTGCATCCCTTGGGCCTGTGGATGCCGGAAGAGCCTGTCAAATCTCTTGGAACTGGAGTCACACGCAGTTATGTGTGACCACCCATGTAGAGGCCTCTGCAAGGAGCAGCAATGCTCTTAACTGCTGAGCCTTTTCTCCAGTCCAGTGTGACTGAACTTAAAGCCAGCTCCACAAGATAGAACCCATGCCTGGTACTATTAACTGAGTTAAAAACGTGTGGCTAACTAGGTCATAAGCCATCGGGGAGAACCTAGTATTATTATTCTGTTAAACGGACATAGCAACAGAGTTCCCTCCAAGTTCTTATCTTTATACTCATAGATCAGTACATCTCTCAATTTTCATCAGAGAAGCTTCTTTCGCTATAAGCAGCGATTAAGATAGCAACCAATTACTAGTCAACATACAGAGAATAAGGGACTGTGGAGTGCTCAGCTCTAAATGGGATGTCTGTATCACATCCCCTTCCCAGGAGGCTCAGAGACCACTGTGGAAGAGGGGGTGGAAAGACTGTAAGAGCCAGAGGGAGTGGACCACTTTAGTAAAACAGTACTCGCAAGACATGATAGGGCCATTGCATACATAAATACACATGCAAGATCAAGCCAACCAAAACCCTGGTATGGATGAGGGAGGGGGTCATGAAGTCTCACCCTATCTGACGCACTACTGGCAACTGATGGCTACATAAATAAAGTTACTCTTCTCCAGGGATGAAGGCTGCGGTGGTTTGAATAGGAATGACGCCCAAAGGGAGTGGCTCTATTAGAAGGTGTGGCCTTGTTGGAGTAGGCGTGGCTTTGGAGTCTATCAAGTACTCAAGCTATGCTCAGTGTGGTACACAGTATCCAGCTGCCTATGGATCAAGATGTAGAACTCAAGCTGGGTGCAGGGCGCACACCCGTAATCCCAGCACTCAGGGAGGCGGAGGCAGGTGGAACTCTGTGAGTTTGAGGCCAGCCTAGTCTACAAATCGAGTCCAGGACAGCCAAGGCTACACAGAGAAACCCTGTCTAGAAGATTCCCCCCCCCCCAAAAAAAAAGATGAGGAACTCTCAGTCTTTCACCAGCACCTGTCTGCCTGCATATCGCCATGTTTCCTGCCATGACTATAATGGATTAAACCTCTGAAACGGTAAGCCAGCTCCCATTAAATGTTTTCCTTGTAAGAGTTGCTCTGGTTATGCTATCTCTTTGTAGCAACAGGAACTCAAACTAAGATACAGGCCCTGAGGGGCTACCCATGTTCAAGCAGATGGTCTCACACCCATTCACATAGAGATAGCACTGAATGGACCAGGCGGTTATCAGATTGAAGAGAAAGAGAGAGGGTGTGGGGGAGGCAGAGAGCATGCACACATAAAGTTGGGAGGAAAAAGTTGTGTGGAGCTGGGGAGGATCTGGGAGGGGGACAGGGTAGGGGTAGATTAGATCCAAACATACTATACCCATGTATAAATATTCAATAAAGTACTTTAAAATCCAGAAAACTGCACAAGCTCCAGAAACGAACACGGGAGCCTGTATAAAGCTGGGAGAGACAATTTCCCCAAGCACAGACCCAGAAGCCAGAGAGTAAAAGCAAAAGATTTGCCCATATTAAAACAAAGACCTTCTGTTGTACAAATCAAAACAAACAGAGCAAAATTCTAAAGAAAGCTGGGAGATGCATGATGGTCTGAATGACCCTGTAACAGGTAGGGACTGAGGGAGACTGGTGGTCAAAGTCTGCTTTGATATGTTAACAGGCACCTCAGCCTTTTGTCTGGGCTTTGTGACCTAGCATATGTCCCCAGTCCTTTATTTATTTATTAAAAAAATATTATTATTTATATAGTATTCTGCCTGTAGGCCAGAAGAGGGCACCAGATCTCATCATAGATAGTTGTGAGCCACCAGGTGATTACTGGGACTGGGACTCAAGACCTTTGGAAGAACAGCTAGTGCTCTTAACCTCCGAACCACTTCTCCAGCCCTTATTTATTTTTGAGACAAGATTTTACTCTGAAGCCGAGGTTGGCCTAGAATTTGGATGCCGTATCCATATCTGTGACAATCTTACACAAAAGTTTTCTTAAAATGTCTATATTCAGAGCCTCACAAAGATCTTTAAACCAGCTTTATACTGATTTAGACTACTTTGACAAGTGCTTATTACAAATGTCATGTGTATACACACGCATACACATACTATACATGCAGATACAGATATATACATTCTAAAATATCATACAACATTCCTTTCCGTTTCTCTGGCTCACAAACAAAACGTAGTTGCCCTGGTTTTAAAAAGGCGCTACAAAAAGAAGAAAGGAAAATAAATAAATAAATAAATAAATAAATAAATAAATAAATAAATAAATAGATAGATAGATAGATAAATAAATAAATAAAGGCAGGCAGGCAGGCAGGCAGGCGCTTTGGATACCGAGACAGGAATTCAATCCTGAAAGAAGAAACGCTCCCAAACCACGTGACACCACCTCCAGGGACCACGTCACGTTCCCGTCAGCACAAAGCTTCCGCCCTATTCAAATATGGTTGGCAAGCACTTTCGGCGCCGCAACTATAGCCGTTTTTGCGTGTAGGAACCCTACTGAGTGCACACCAGCCTCCTTTAGGCAGGTATCACGGCGGAGGAGATACAGCAGTGCATCAAGGAGGACAATCAGTTAACACCAGTAGTAACAAGCGCGGACCGGAAGTTCTGCGTCCTCGCTGTCCGGGGGAGCCGTTAGGCACGCACGCCGGAAGTGGCCAATAGGCCGGTGTGAGGCGGTGCCCACTGTGTTCGCGTCCCTCGGGCAGCAGAGCCATGGAGCCCGGGGCTGCTGAGCTTTACGACCAGGCCCTTCTGGGCATCCTGCAGCACGTGGGCAATGTCCAGGACTTTCTGCGCGTGCTCTTCGGCTTTCTTTACCGCAAGACCGACTTCTATCGCCTGCTGCGCCACCCTTCGGACCGCATGGGCTTCCCTCCCGGGGCCGCGCAGGCCCTAGTGTTGCAGGTGAGGTGGGGAGCGGTGGGCCGTTGGGATCTTGCAGGTCCTTACAGTTCTACCTCTCGGCGCCAGACGTGTCCCCGGGTCGCGTCCTACGCAGGGGACCAGCGCCACTCCTCATCCCAACCCTTCGGATTTTGCCGTTCTCCCTGGGGTGCCAAAGGTGATTTTGTGTAAATGGTCCGTTGTCAGGGATTCGCTGCTTTGGGAAAAGCCTGGGTTTGTGCAGGACGTTCTTCGGTGTTGGAAACTTAAGCCTTGAGGGCCTATGGGCGCCCTGTGGACATCCTCAGAACGGTGCAAGGAGTTTGCTAAGCTGTGTCCAAACCGTGCAGGCGGGAGGGGAAGGATTTTCACAAGGGCAGACACTTGAATATTTCAGAACTCCCGGGCTCAGGAGGTGGCAAGAATGACTGGTATGTATTGATTGGTGGGTGTGGCCGCTTGCCAGTGACTTGCTAGGTCGAGGACAATTAAAATGATTTGAAATTTACATTTGGATCTAAATCTGTACGTCCTAGGTTAAATTTATTGTTTTTGAAGGGTTAACTAATTACTGACCGAAGTTTGGACACCATTTAAAAATTGTTTTGCTTTGAGATAGGGTCTTGTTATGTAGCCCTGGTTGGCATGGAACTTTCCAGGTAGTGTCTTCGAATTTATAGTCCTTCCTCTGACTCTCCAGTGCTGGGATTGTTGACATTGTTGATTTAGTAATAAGCAAACATTTAATGGATATATTTAACACTCTTCAGCTGCAATATAGGTTCATGGTCTGTCTATTCATGACAGGTTCAGAAAATAAAGCAAGCACTGTATAATAGAAAACTGCTAGTTCTCTGTGTGGTAGAGCTGTTTGGGAGGGAGTGATAGAAATGGTAGTTATGAAATTGAGAAAGTTTTGTGGGAGAGGTTAGACTTTCAGTGAGATTAAAAGTTTGGGGGAAGCCAGGCTCGGTGGTCCATGTCTGTAACCCAGCACTCAGGGAGGCAGAGGCAGGTGGATGTCTGTTCTCGGCCAGCCTGGTCTACAAAGCAAGTGTAGTACAGCCAGGGCTACACACAGAGAGACCCTGTCTTGAAAAAAAAAATTGGGGAGGAGTATCAAACTTGACTATTAGAGTCTGATTCTCTAGCACCTATAGAATGCTTCATGTTACCTTCTGAAGTCTTTTTTTTTTTTTTTTAGATTAATTTTTTTTATATGTACTGATGTTTTGCATGCACATATGTCTCTGTGAGGATGTTAAATCCTCTGGAACTGGAGTTAGACAGCTGTGAGCTGCTGTGTGGGTGCTGTGAATTGAACCTGGGTCCTTAATCCCTGAGCCATCTCTCCAGCTCCTTGTTTTTTGTTTTCTGAGACATGGCTTCTCAGCGTAGCCCTGGCTGTTCTAGAACTCACTCTGTAGACCAGGCTGGCCTCTAACTCAGAGATCCACCTGGGATTAAAGTTGAACACCACCACTGCCTGGTTTACCTTCTGAAGTCTTAATCCAATCTGCGGGTTTATGAGGAGTTACTTTCCTCAGTTTCTCAATGGGAGAAACCAAAGCTCAGAATGTTCTAGTACCTGTCAGCATAATGGCAGTCAGGTGATCCGTGGGATGGTTCCTACTGAGGTTCAGTTTCAGAATGGAAACTGATGGAGTTACTGTAGTAACTCAGCCTCCCTAGTGGCCCAGGTGCCATTTGAGTAATTGGAGAGTGTGAGAAGCGGCTGGAATGGGACCGTCTGTTACTGCATACTGAAGTCTTGCCACTTGATCGTCACACTCTGAATTTGACGCATCAGTTCAGGAGGTTAACTGATAGGACAAGAATTTCGCTCAGCTCTTTCCTCATAGCTGGAACTCATGACTTCAGCTTTCTGACTCCAGATCTTTCTGCTCTGGCATTCAACCATTCCATAACACAGTGAAAACTTTTGTTTTAGTTGTAGAAAGATTTGGAGGAAAAAAGAGTATATCCCAGTAGCTAGTAGTATTCGACTTTCTGGACTATTACTTCTTGTTTTAGCTTCAGCACAATTTGAGCTGTTGCTTTTTGCTTCTCTGATGAACTAATAGAGGCAGTGCACTTACTTATCCTGTAACTTTATAAAACAGCTATCTCTGAAAGGGTAAGATACCTCTGTAGGTTACAGTGTGGTGACCATGCTATTGGAGGTAGGGAGCAGGAGAAGAGGAAGGGTGAATCAGATATCCCAAGTTTCCAAGTCTGGGTGACTGGAACAGTGATATTCATTATGACTATCATATGGATTTGGGGGTAGGGTTAATTTAGACAAGTTGGAATTGTGGCACTGGATCCTGCAGGAGATGGGGTAATTGGTGAGGTCTGAAGAAGAGCTGAAAGTAGAAGACAGCTGGGGAACAGTCACAGTAAAGGGCATTGCGTTTTCCTGAAGACACGGGGACAGTCTCAGGTACAGGCTTAAGAGGTTTTTTGTTTGTTTGTCCTTGCCCCTGTTTTCAACTGTCAGCATTAAACAAGAGACTTCTTTTTCTTTTCAGTTTTTTTGGAGACAGTTTTTCTTTGTGTAGCCCCGGCTATCCTGGAACTTGCTTTGTAGACCAGGCTATCCTCCCAAGTACTGGACTCAAAGGCATGTGCCACCATGCCCAGTGACTATTTTCATTAGTTAGATCATAGTGAGTCCCCAAAACCTGCTTTTTCTTAATTTACAGAAAGCCTTTGGCAAGAGGCTTGTAAGGTGGGTTCAGTATTGGTAAGGGTTTTGTTGTGGAGTGATATTAAATACCATCAGATAGAGTGACTTAGTACACACAACATTATCTCATTCCTACTCATCTGCTTGTTTTTTTGTTCCTGATTCAGTGATCCTAAGATTCCTTCCTGTGACTTTCTCTATCAAAGTGTGAACATAGGCAGAGATGGTTTGGATATGTTCTTGTGGACCTTGAGAGCTTCCTGCTGATATTTTGGAGAGTGGACTGTTGATGTATGTGCTGTTTGTTTTTTGTTTGTTTTGTTTTTTGTCAACTTAATACAAACCAGGAGAGAGGTAATCTTAATTGAGGAGTTGCCTTCATCAGACTGACCTGTAGGCAAAGTCTGTGGGGGATTTTCTTGATTAATGGTTGATGTGGGGGGTTCACTGTGGGCAGTGCCATCCATCCTGGGGCAGGTGGTTCTGAGGTGCATAAGAGCAGGCAGAGTGGGTTAGCAGGTGTCATTCCACGATAGCCTCTGCTTCTGTTCCTGCCTTGGCTTCACCTGATGATGGACTGTATCCTCTAAGCCAAGTTGTTTTTGATCCTGATGTGTTTATCACAGAAAGAGAAAGCAAACAAATTCAATGTTGTGTAAAGTATCTCACTTTTTTCCTTCTAAGGTCCTAGAGCAGGAATGAAGTTTGTGAAAATCTTGTTCTGTTCCATTATGTATTAGAAAATGTTAAGAAAAAAGTAGTTCACTTTGACATGTCAGTGATAACTCCTGGAGGCCAATGTAAGAAGCACTGCTTATCGGAAGGCATCATTAGGACAGTCAGGAAACTATTTGGTTCTTACTCCTTTTGTAACTTGTTGAAAAATCCTAGGCAAGTCAGTTCATCTCTTGTCCTCCTAGATGGCTTATTGAAGACCATGGACATCTGTTACAGTCTAGGACTCTATGACTCTAGGGTGAGTACTGTGAACATAATGGCAGCTGGAGCTCTGGAGTGGCATGAGAACTGGGTAGTGCAGTTGGGCAGGTAGAAGAGGCTCAGCTTACAGAGTCACAAAGGCCTCAGGAGGGCTGAGGACTATTAGGCTCTAGTTTGGAGCAGGCTATAATGGCAGTCTGAGGTTACAGGAGACAGTCCTTACTGCCTGACCTTTTGTAGTTAAGTTGAAGATCTGAGGTGTCAGAGATAGAGTGATTTTTGAACACAGAGGACTCAGACACCTGTGAGCATGGATGCTGGAGAGAAGCTAGTTAAGTCTTAAGGTTTCCTGCAGAGTAGCTATGGTTCTGGGTTCGTCTATAGGTGTTTTGTTTTTTGAGACAGAGTCTGACTGCATACTCCTGGCTGGGCTGAAACTCACTGTGTATCAGTCATTATTTATACCAGGCTAGCCTGGAACTCTCAGATCCACCTGTCTCTGCCTAATGGGTGCTGGAATTAAAGTTGTGTGCTAACATGCCTGGCTTTTGTTACCAGACTTGTTAGGATTTTATTTCTTTTCTTCTGGCTCCATTGCCTTTTTACTGTGTGTTGTGTCCTGTGTAGTATTTTGCTGTGTCCTTTTGCTGATAGACCATGAGTTACTTAACCTCTCTGAATGCCGTTTTTTATTTTTTATTTTAGGATGTTGGTAGTCTTCACAGGGCGTTTGTTAGTTTTGAAACTGTAGAAATATGCAGCAAAGTTAGCACCCATCTTTTGTTTTGTCTTCCAAGCAGTGCTCAGACACTTAGTGAATGCTTACAGAGTCCTAGCCTTTTGGAGTAGGTGATTCCCACTCATGTCCCAGGTCATTTCTTCAGCCTTCGCTACCTCTGCCTAGTGCAGGGCTTCTTGCTGTTCCGTGGGGATCCCACTTCTTAGAGCTGTGCTGGTTCCTCCAGTGGCCCTTATGGAAGATGCACTCTTCCATAAGGGCCAGTTGAGAACCCTGTTCTCCTTCCTCTGTAGGTTTCTTTCTCTAGAAATGTTCCTTCCCACCACAGTCTGACAGGGCATCAGGGTTCTATGGTGCTCCTCTTGCATAGAGTTCTATCAGTGTGAGTATGTACTTGTGTAGTACTGAAGATGGAACCCATTGCTTAGCTCATGACTAAGCAAATGTTTCTACTACTGACCTATATCCCCAGCCCTTTAACTAAACTTGTTAAATGGTCCCAGCACCTCTGTGAATGTGACTGTGTCTTAGAAAAAGTTAAGGGTGTGCCTGCATACCAAAGGAGGACTATCCGGACTATCTGGGAAAATCCTGTTAGAAGTCTGAGGAAATGGAAGTGAGTTTGTATCCTTTTGCTTTTGGAGTTTGTGTTCCAAACTCCAAAAGCGATAGCTATAGGCTCAGAGTGGGTGTTTATGAAATCAAGTACTCCTATATCTCCTTAGCTTTCAGTTTGGAAAGGGTAGTAATAGTCTGGTAAGCCTGAGTGCATTTTGTAGATTGACTACAAAATTTTTATCTTTCACTTTTTAAATCTGAATTTCTGCCACCACCTGAGTGTGTTCTTCATATTACCAGCAAGATGGGTAAAAGTAATGATAATTGCGGGTCATGCCTCTAATCCCAGCTTTGGGGAGGCAGACACAGGAATCTCTGTGAGTTGGAGGCTAGCCTGCTCTACAGAGTGAATTCCAGGACAGACAAGCTACACAGAGAAACCTTGTCTTGCAACTCCACTTCCTTACCCCAAAAAAGTAATGACAACTAAAGCTGTATAGCTTTGTATCCTCTAGATTTGTAAGTACTGTTAGCTTTGACTTGTTTTTTAGTTTGTTAATTTTGGAACCTTCTTGAGGAAGAGCAGTTCCTACCAGCTTTTGATGAAGTTCTAGAACGTTTACATTTTGCTTTGATTTACTGCTAATTAATTCTGTATTCAGTAGATTTTGTTAATTTCTATGGTGTGTGGTCTAATAGGGGCAGATGAAATTATTGTTGGATTGATGTTTTATTTTTAGGTCTTTAAAACCTTTGATCACATGGCTCGACAGGATGATGAGAAAAGGAAGAAAGAACTTGAAGAGAAAATCAGAAAAAAGGAAGAAGAGGCCAAAGCTGTGGTAGCTGATACAGCTGAGAAAGAAGCCGTGCCAGTCCCAGTGCAGGAGGTAGAGATTGATGCTACTGCAGAGTTGAGTGGACCTCAGGAAGTAGAAAAGGTGGAGCCCCCAGGCCCCCAGGGCTCCGAGCACAAGGTCTGTGGCTTGGTGAAGGCAGAAGCTCCAGAAGCAGTTAGCACTGCTGCTGAAGGCCCTAAGGAACCCCCTGTGCTCCCCAGGTAGGAACATTTCCCTGCATTGTCCTTCTTTCTTTGTTGTGGTTAACTTTGCCTCTGATTGGCTTTTTCTTGCTGTAGTTTGTAAAATACCAGCTCCGTTTTGGTGGGTGGTGGTTAAATAACCGAAACTTACTTTCTAATAGTTTTGGAGGCTGGAAACCCAAGATTAAAGTATTGCCTGGGTTATTTGTTCGAAGGCCTTTATCAGTGAGTGGCTTGCAGACAACCATCTTCTGCGCCTTCATTTGGTAGTCACATCCTTTGTGCTTGGCTGTGTCTTAATCTCCTATTCTCAAGCAGCACCTCAGACATATTAGTGTGCCAGACTGTCTTTACCATAGAGGACTCTCAGTCAGCTAAAGTATAATCTTTATTTATTGTGTGTGTCTCTGTGTGTGTTGCTGTATGAATGGGTGGGCATGTGCCACAGAGCATGCATGGCAGTCAAGAGAACAACTTGCAAGAATCAGTTTTCTTTTTCCATCTTGTGGGTCCCAGGGATTGAACTCAAGTTGTCAGGTTGGGTGGCAGACACCTTTACCTGTTAAACTATCATGGCAGCATCTAAATGTAATTTTAATAAGCCCTGAATCACTTCTAGAACAAAGTTGACTTGTTTGGAAAAATTCTGGGAAAACTTTTTCTTTCTGTCATAAAACTTTGTAAATTAGCACCTGACTTATGAAAGCTGCAGATATCACGTGAATTGTTATTTAGAAGCACTTCTAAAAGGAGTGCCGCTGGCTCCTGTTCAGCTGCTCAGTCATTGTGCTGAGTGCCATTGCCTCCCGCTCCAGCGCCAACACCACTTTATCTGAGCGTTTATTTAGCTTTCTGTGTTTGCAACCTGCACAACAGTCCTTTAGTTGTGTATTTGGGTGCTCTTTTAGCTTCAGTCTTATTTTTTTCACCGTTTGAAACAAAGTAATGATCTGTTCACAGTCATGTAGCTGTTTGAGGGCCAGAGCCAAAATTAGAGCAGGTGTTACCTCCCAAAGCCTTTACTGCGTCTGCATCTGCGTGTAGCCACAGTGACTTGATTCCTTGTTTGTGTACCTTTAGGACCTTTTAATTCTAGAGCTAGTTGGTCTTTTTTTTTTTTTTTTTTTTTTTGAGGCAGGGTTTCTCTGTAGCCCTGGCTGTCCTAAACTTTCTCTGTGTACCAGGCTGGCCTTACATTCACAGAGATCCACCTGCCTCTGCCTCCTGAGCTCCTGAGTGCTGGGATTAAAGGTGTGTGCCACCACCTCTTGGCTAGGGCTAGTTTATCTTAACACTTGATCTTTGGGACTAGCTTCTCAGTGCTGTAGGGTTCAGCTCTTCAGAAAAGTCTTGCCATGTGCACATACCTATAATCCCAACACTTAGAGTCAGGAAGATCATTGAAGTTTGAGGTCAGCCTGAGCTACAGAATGGGACCTGTCTCAGAAACAAAACAGAGACTACCTTACAATGTTAGTGAGTGCAACAAAACATGCTTTGCCTGTCTGTTTATAAAGTGATCTTGAAGACAGCCAATGTGGATGTTGTGAGAGCCAGTTTTTTCTGTAGTTAGGCAAGGCTATGGTTTCTAGTCTCAAATACTTGTGCCAGTGTTGCTATGAAAGACTGTAGGTTTGGGTAGGGTCTGCAGTAGTTGACTTTAAGCAGGGGGAGGCTAGCCTGTGTGAGTGGACCTCATCAATCAGCTACAACTTCCCTGAAGTAGAAGCATTTGCACTCAGTTTCTGGGGAGTTTACCATGCCCTGTGTGGATTTCGGACTGGCTTAGACATCCCCCATCCCCACAGTTATGTTCATTTCTCTGCCATTTGTCTATCTATTTGAGACAGACTCTCTCCTTGTAGCCCTGCTGTTCTGGACCTTTCTATATAGACTGGGCTGGTCTCTGCCTTCCTAGTGCTAAGGCTAAAGGTGTGTGCAGCTGTGCCTGGCTCTACACTTGTTTATTTATGCTTTAATGTGTGTATGGGTGGCGTTGTGCCAAGGGTGCATGTGTGGCGGCCAAAGGACAAGTTATGGGGCTTGGTTCTGACATTCTGTTGTCTGGGCTCCAGGGCTTGAACTCAGGTTGTCAGACTTGGTACCCTACTCAGCAAGCCGTCTTACTAGCCTTCACGGAATTCTTTTTAGTATTTGCCGCTAGTTCTGTTTCTCTGACTTAATTCTTGACAAATACAGGTGTTTCATGGTATAATTAATGTTAAGTGGGAATAAGAACATATACTTCCCTGTTGAATGCCAGATTTTAAAAGCCTGGAAAAGTGCATTATTAATGGTGGCTATAACAGAGTGGTGGAGTAAGGAGTGTTTTAATTATCTTAATTATCTTTGTGTTTGTTTGAGTGCATGTTGCTTGCCAGGCTCCTTTTTTTAAAATTCTGATAGGGTCTCATTACTCTGGAACTTTGCCAGGTAGGCTAGGCTAGGTGAACAGTGAACTTCCAGGCTTCTACCTGTCTGCTTTTCCTGGACTAGGATTAGAAACCTCCCTCATCCCTTACTATTTACTTTTGTTTTGACTTGGTTTCTGGAGGTTAAACTCAGATCTTTATACTTTAAAAAACAATTTTTTTTTCAAGACAGGGTCTCACTATGTAGCTTTGGCTGACCTGAACTCACTATGTAGACCAGGCTGGCCTTGAGCTCACAGAGATTGATCTGTGTCTGCCTCCCAAGCTGTGGGATCAAAGGCGTGCGCCACTCTTCTTAGCTTAGGTTTTTACACTTTCCTGGCAAGCACTTTACTGACTGAGCCATCCCCTCAACTCTTCATTTTTATATTTATCTTTTTTAAAAATGCAAATGGGGAATTTTGTTTTACTATTTTTTTTTAATTCTTAAAAAAAAAAAAAAAAGACATTCAGTTTTGATGTGAGTAGTGGACCAGAATAGCTACCTTATTGCAGGGACTCTGCTCTAAATTCTTGAGCCATGAGCTGCACTGTGGCTGACATTCCCACTCAGAATGCTACGAGAGTAGTAAGTTTAGAGTGACGATTTGCATGTTTCAGAAACCAACCGTTTTACATGCTCTTCAGGTCAGACTTCTGTCCTGTCATTTCTTTTAGTGCGCAGAACTGCAGCATCTCATCCTTCATTAGTTTTAACTAGTGAATAAGTTGAAGTTGAGGCATTAATCTATCATAGCTGCAGCCGAGAAGCAGTGTTTCTGCACATCTGAAAATGGAATGTCAAACACTGTTTTTTTCCTTGTTCTACCTAGAGCTGGATCCCAAATTCCTCTACCAATTAGCTATGCATGGTAGATGTGAAGATTTGTCTTTTGCCAGTGGAATAATTGAAGAAGAATCTTGAGGTGACCACACCCAAGCCCTTCTCCTTCTGAGAGTACTCTTTCCAAAGTTGGTTACCAGGACCTGAGACTCTGAGCACTCATTTCTTTTCTTTTTTCCTCCTTTAGTTTTTAGACAGGCCAGGTTGACCTTGAAGTCCTGATTCTTTTTCCACCTTCCAAGTGCTGGGATTACAGGTGTGTGCCACCACGCCTGGCTTGGATTCCTCTTTCTTCCCACAACCCCATGTTTGATTGCTGTTTCTGATGACCTTTGTTAGACAAACACTTGCTGCTGGCTTATATAGCATGATAGATACTCCTTCTCTTCAGTAAGTCTGCGACATGCTTATTTAACAAATTTTGGCATAAGTGTTGGGGGAAAAGAAAGACTGGATAACAAATACTGTATTTATAGTTTGCATGCGCATTCTTATTAAAAATTGTTCATTAGAGTATATAATACATTGTGTTCTTTGGAGTTTTTGTTGTTTTGATTTTGTTTGTTTTTTGAGACAGATTCTCACTGTGTGCCCTTGGCTGCCCTTGGAACTTGCTATGTAGTCCAAGCTGATCTCAATTCACAATGATCTGCCTGCTTCTGCCTCTCCTTAATAGTGTACCGCTGTGTGTCTGGCTATTAAACTTCATGGTTCTTGTGAGTTGTGTGTTTGTGTGTGTGTGTGTGCGTAACACTTCGTCACAGCCAAAAGGCTGAGAAGCAATCATTTTGTGTCTTTTGAAACCTAGTTGACCTAACAGTGCAATGAACTGTCTTCTGGAATATAGTTAATGACTTCTCTCAAATAGTCTTGTGGTCACCACAGCCACGATAGAGACATTTGTAGTGCCTGATTGCACAGTGCCTGCCTCTTCTTCCTGTCCTCAGGCTCTGCGACCTTGCAGTGTTCTGCCTTAAAGTTTTATAGTATAGCTTTAAAAAATTACATTTATTTGTGTGTGTGCTTGTGTGCACACATATGCACATGGAATTAGTACTCTCATCGTGTAGGTGCTGGGGATTGAACTCAGGTCATCAGGTAATTGCCAAGTGCCCTACCCAACTGAGCCATTTTGTGGGCACTTACCAATTTCCTTCTTAGGAATTACTTAAACATTTTTGTTGTTGTTGTTTTGTTTTTGCTTTGGAGACAGGGTCTTGCTATATACCAAGGTTGTTCTCAGCCTTTTGTGATCCTCCTGCCTCCACCTTCCAAATGCTAAAATTACACCTATGTACCACCATGCCAGACTACAGTATACATTTTTGCTTATGTATAATGATGTAGAGTTTTTACATATAAAGCCACAGATACAGTATTTTTTGGGTGATTAAAGGGGATATTTGAAGGAAATGTTAATTTGATAATTTTGCTGTCACTCTGATGTTATTATCTCCCCACTAATAAGCTACAATTGCCATAAGTCACATTGTTGTTTTCACCTTCTGTCACTGCTAGGAAAGTCAGAGCTCCCCCAGTGCTGAGCCTGGCATGGTGGCACATGCCTTTAGTTCCAGCTACGTGAGAGGCTGTGGTGGAAAAATTGCTTGACCTTTCAAGCCTAACACCAGTCAGCCTGGGCAACATAGTAAAACCGCATTTAAGGAACAAGGAAAAGAAGAAACAAAAGGAACAGAAGTACCAGGGTGCTTGAAACACCCACTTAATTCCCACTCATTTGGGTACAAAAAAATTTCCTGGTT